GATCGAGTCTCGTAGCAACTTCAATCTCGATATTTGCAATGAACATTCTGGTTCGTCAGAAGTTGCACGAAGCTGTAACCATTTCTCTGTTAGAGGCAAATTTGGCTCCAGGTGATTGGCAGAGGAAATATACAAGAAGTGGAAGGATTTAATCGTTCTTGACCCATAGACCGTGCGGCCTTAGTACTGCCCTATTCTCGTCATGTTCCTGTCGTGAAACACATCTAGATGATATGCGACACGAAAGCTAGCTTTAGTTCTTATCGGTCTGCAGATGTTACATGAAATCTATACAAGTCATTCAAGAAGAAATTGCAGAGGGCCAGATCTATCTACCTTGGAGCTTCACTGGTTTACGCTATCATGAGTGTCAGTTTTAACACTAGACTCTTTGTTGAGTGGCGCAAATTATCGATATTTACCGGAAACTCAAGAATTAGTGGCCACGAAAAGGTTAGTCAGATATAGTAATATCCTATTTATAAAATGTACCCTATTCTTTGAAGTACAATCCACATCATTACGGACTGTCGGGGCGTGTCAGTGCGGCTGCGTTTGGCGCGGTACCAAAGTCGTTCTGCACCAATTGTTGAAGCGGGCAAGTGACATTACTGTATTATATCCTTCGTATTACTCGTACCACTTTTTGTCGCATACGCGTTTCAACAAAAGGCTGAGAACGGCTTCAACAGTGTGCGCACTCCTACTGGCTGACACGCCCCAACAGTCCGTAATGATGAGGACAGTACGTATAGGCTTTACCAATGTTCCCGCCCCTGCAAATGTTTCTTCTTCGCTCTCTTGCTGTTTTTGGTATATCCTTATCAATATTAACTATCTATTTTCGATGAGAGGTGTTTGAAGTCCGTTGGAAGCTCAAGCAATTCAGAAGAGACAGAAAAACTATTCCTCTGTCCACCAAAATTTAAATGCGCTGTCTAGCACGGGTTTTGCAAAATGAGCCCTATACAACACAAGCAGGATATATTTGTTGCTGCTTTACGGCTGAGTTCGACGTCTCATCAGAAACTAAAGTAGAGGAAAAAGCGAAGTTTTTGGGGTAGCGAGAGCAATGAGTTATCGAACCTTACTCCACTCTCAGGCAAAAGGGTCCCGGCACAAAAGGAACCATTCTTTCCCATTGCATCACTTCTGCCGAGCAGATCTTGCACCTCTTCTTTCGAACTACTTCTGAGTTGGACGATGTAGTATCTATGATCCTGTGATTCTCTTTTCCACATCGAAGAACTGGGCTTCTTCGTACCCATAGAGCGTGCGGAGCTCTTCAAAAGTGTCTGGTGGGTGAGCTACAGCCTTGGTAAACGGGACCCTGTTGGCCCAAAAGATATCTCCTGCAAACCCGAACTCTTCCTCGTCCCTACAACATCTACATGGAGCGGGACAGAGAGCACCTCGAAAATTCGCAGAGATCCTTCAAAACGCTGCAAGATCACCACTGCTCTTGAGGGTGCTTTCAATCTTATCGTCCACGCTCAGTGCCTTTGAACTCGAAACGCTTTTTGCGTTCTGGATAGGTTTCGCGTCACGCAATATTTGCCCATTTAAACCGAGTGACCACTCCCGGAATGCAGGAAAATGTAAAGAAAGGCACTTTTCTCGCAGGACAGCTGTTCCCTGAAACCCTCAACAAGCAACCTTGCATTGTGGATAGGATCTGTCTGCTTCT